CATGTGACTTCTGGCTCTTCTCCAAAGTCAGGTGACTAGGAAAGGTGGGTGTTTTCAATGTATTCAGGTATTTAGGCTGCGGTGACAGCACGACAGGAGACACTCAGATGTAATGAGTATGATGTCTCCAGAGCAATGGACTGATACGAGGTGGTGTTGAGGATGAGGATGACCATGGTTTCTTCCAAGTCTGTCACAGCAGCCAGGACAGCCGGCAAAACCCTGAGGCTGCACTTGGAGGATGACAGTGGGTCAGCCCTGGTCAATACACACAACTTCTTTATGGCCCCACCTGGGGGAAGAGACTTTCTTTTCGCGTCAATGCCTGCGTGTTTCGTGCCGGGGCTGTGATGATTTGCCCCCTTAACGATACTGGAATATCAGTGCTAGTTGAGGTCACCACCCGAAGTAGTTTAAGTAACGATGTGTTTAATCTAATTATTCCCCAGGATCTTTCTGCTTTCCTCATAGGACAAGCACGTGAGCTAAATGGGGGGATGGCAGGAATCACCATCCCAGCTTTTCCTAGGTCTCTGACAATGGTATTCATCGTCTGGAGTCCCCCAGGGGCCTAGTGTTATTTTAGCTTAACTGTCCTTGTAGTGAGGTCCTTTTACTTTGCTCTTGTTGTTTCTCAGGCCAGAGTGTCCGTGTGAGAATTCTGCCTGTTGTCAAAGTGATTATTTCCAGGTAGGCATCCACAAACTGGGGAAAGAGTCTGCAGATTTCTTGGGACCACTGTGATTCAATGTGGACTAAGATTCGAACGATCTGTGGCCACTAGAAGCCACCGTGTTCATTGGTAAACTGTGGCATTTTGTGTCTCCAGGCATCAGTGTCTAATAAGTCCTACTGTCAGCAGAATTGCAGCCCCTGCGTCCTCCGAGGCCTGGTGTCAAGTCTGGTTTTTCTGGCTGGGAGCGGGGAGGAGGTGAAGGCAATGCCACAGAAAGAGAAGCTAGAGAAATTAAAGATATAAGGCCGGGAATTTAACTCAGTGGTTCTACCACCTGCCTCGCAAGCACAAGGTCCCGTGTTTGATCCCCAGTACCTCAAAAAGAAAAAAAAATATTAAAGACTTGATCTGTAATTGCTGTTTTGAAGTTGGTTGGGGCCTTTTGAAAACAGGAGAAGGAAAGAAATCCTGCCAACAATAGCAAGCTTGGAGGAAGTCCCCGGCCCCAGATGAGAATCAATCATTCAACTGACTTTTCATTTGTTCAGCCTGTACGATGACAATTTAGTGTTCACTCGGGGCAACGTTGGTCCTGTGGGGACAGGAAGCAAATGAATGATCCCTTAGAACTTCCGTGCAATGATTTATGAGTCTCTGGTTATGACTCCATCTCAGATAGTACGATCTCGAGTTTATTCTGTTTCAGAAAGTGCTGTGGTACAGTCAGAGGAAGACATCCTCCTTAGTGTCCTTTGTACCCATCGTGACTGTCATAAGAGACAAGAGCAGCAGCCACTTGGGCCCCCAAGCGATTTACTTCAGTAGGTGCCTTATCTAAAAACCAAGCAAAGTAATAATTGTGGTACTCTTGGGTGCCGTATACCTCACTTCCTGTTAGGCGTTTAGTCCTGCATGGAAGCTCAGTGTCTCTATACAAGCAACCAGCACTCCCTTCTTGAAGTTTTACTTTTGGGGACCATGCGTAGTCCAGACTATTCTGTCATTTGGTGTCCAGGGATAAACAAAAGACAGTTATTCAAGCAAAGAGAATATAATATGTAAAGGACTATTACCTAGGTATAAAAGTTATCAACTAGGTAATTAAATGATTGAAAGGAAGATTCTAACCGAATCATAGAAATAGAAACTATGAGAAGGAAAGATTCAGGAGCTATTAAAATGTGTCAATGTACAGGCCAGTTTCTGCAGAGCTGACATTCACGTTTCTTCTTGGTACAGCCTGGCATCACTGAGCTTGGGGACAGTCCCCAGGGGCCAAGGACTCAGGACCCCAAAGGTGCAGTGCTGGCAAGCTTGAGCAAGGTCCACCGTGGGGCAGCTGAGAAAGCAGAAATATAATTTGCAGCCTGTGACCACCAGCATCACCACGCTGAGTGGAGGAGGACACGGAACCGTGGCACAGTAACTGAACAACTAGAAAAGGGTGGCTTTGTGCTGAACCCTGTAACTTCCAAAGTAGCTATTTTGAAATCTTAGGAACTTTCTCCTTTTCCTTATTTTTAATTCCTTACCTTAACTCTCTCTTCATGGATTTTGGGGTCAGATAGGGTTGGGTTCAGATTTCTTTTATTCTTTTTCTCCTGTGTTATGTGACTGTAAGCGAGCTATGTGACCTTCTTAGACTTATCTTCTCCCTGTGGTGTGCATGCCCCAAGCTCACACCCGTCCCAGCTGTGGTGCGAGTGTAACACGAAACCCAGTTCACATGAACAACTAAGGCTGAGGCAGACAATGGTACAGTTTATGGCTCAAACTTCCCCTTCTTCCTCTTCTCTGTTCGGCCTGGCATTCCCTAGCTTTTTTCATCGTGTCTTCTCTCTTCTATTTTTTCTTTTCTGCCCATTTTCATTATTTTCCGACCTCTTAATACCTTAATCCACCTCTACCTCTCATCCCTTTGTCGACTATGGATCCCAAGATCGATAACCCTCAAAGAAAGTATCCCCCTTTTGCTTTGGTATTTGAAACGCATGTCCTTTCCCCACTCTGAACTCTCTGTGCACCTCCTGTCTTCTGGGCTGTCCTATATTACCTGTTGCATCAAGTACCAATTAGGAATGTTCTGTGTTTCCAGTTTTGGAAAACCCAACAAATACTGGCTTGGTATAGTAGAGATGGCTCCTCTCGCTAGCAAAGTCTCTTACATTCTCATGTGGTGTTGTGGCTGCAGGCTTCCCATCTGTGTTTCAAGTAGGAAGAGTGTGAGCACTGTTAATGCATCTACTTTTATCTAAAAAGGAAAGACTTCTCCAAATACCCAGTTAACTATGGTTGGGTCCCATTGGACAGCCCTGTGTCTCTCTATTTCTGGGGCTTTAGTTAATTCCTAAGTTTGCATTCCACCGTTGTGATGAATTTCCAGGGCAGGAAGCTTTGGTAAATTCCTACTCTCTCATCGTTTTCCCTTTTACAGAGAGTCAGACTTGGGATCATCTAGTATTGCAGCCCTTTCAGGCTGGTGTTTTGCCCTTGGCGATATGCATTTAAGATTCCCCATGTGTTTTCATAGTTTAACAGAACGTTTATTTTCATCACTGAATAGGATTCCATTGTATAAACATCCCAGGATTATCTGCTCACTGATTGAAAGGCAACCTGTTTGCTTCGGATTTTGGACAATTGCCAACGAAGTTGCTATGAGCTTTCATGTGCAGATTTTTATAAACACGTTTTCGGCTCACTTGGGTAAAGACTCAGGAGTACAACTGGTGGCTGCATGGTAAAAGCATGTTTAGTCTGGCAAGAAACTGCCAAATTGTCTCCAGAGTGGCTGGTCCATTTTGCACTCCCGCCAGGGATGACAGAGTTCCTGTGGCTCTACTTCCTCTCCAGAATTTGCTGTTCTCACTGCTTTGGGTTTAACCTTTCTCATAAGCGTACTCCTGACTGTTAACGCTAATTTCAAAACTCACCCGAACTTTTCCTCAGTGCTGTCTCTATGATGCGGTAAGTGGGCTCTTCCCCTTTGAAATCCGATCTCGGGCCCTTCTGATTCTCCTTGCAGTCCACAGACCCAAAATACTACTCTGCATTGCAGGAACAGCCCCTGCCTCTGGAAGGTTCCTGCAAATTCCCAAGGCGCGGCTTCCATTCTCTGTGGCTTGTAGGCATCTTCCTGCGAATCAACCCAAACTCAAACCTCAACTCCTTCCCTGTTTTTCACACAAGAGCTGACCCATCCCAGGAATTATATGAATTCGTTAGCTTTAGTGGGGAGGAATCGCATAATAAAGTTCAGGATCTCCCAACAGTGTCAAATTTTTTTTCTCTTTCTAAATTAAAGATCATTCCTCTGTCTCTTGCGGAATTGTTCAATGTCTTGGTTCTGTTGAGCCTTTCTGGTTGCCTGTCCCAAAGGGGCGTGCTCTGTTGTAACTTGGCCCTATCAAGACATATTAACCACGAAGGCATCTGGCCACCAAGAGGAATTCTGCTCTGGACAGCTGAGAGAATGCAGTTTATCTTCTCATTGCACGTAGCTATTTTCACACATATATTTTCCTCTCGGGATAGTAAGGTCCTGAGGCATAAGAATGAATTCTGCACCTCTTTTGATCTCCATCATCTCAGCTTTAAAAGTAGTCATCAATGCATTTTTTGTTGAATAAAATGAATGGTGCACTACGAATGACTTCAATCTTTTAAAAACAAGTAACAAAGTAACCCCTTTATGCACACATACTTAAATTCAAACGGCAGACGTCCAAGTAGAAACCCAGACCATTATTCCTTCGCCCACTGGGTAAACTTTATTGAGAAACATCAGAAGACACAGTACTACAAGTGAAATTAACACAGCCAACAGGCAACATTGTCGCGGGCTCCAAACCGAGGGCCGGATCAGGTGTTGCTGCGCAGAAAGATCCGACCTGCTTCTGAGAGGCTGCAGCTTCTGTTCCCTCTGCCGACTTTCGAGGAAGGTCTCTTGGCTGTATTCTGGTGTCTCTGACATTGGAAAGTCAAACGGAAGCTATAAATAGACAATAGGAGGGAAAATAGGGTCGCAGACCATTCTGAAGGAACCAGTTCTACAAAATGCTGGCAGTTTTTGAGCATCAAGAAGAGTATATCCGAAGCGATGTGACAGTCACACGGTGGACTCAGCACCTCTGTATCCTCAGAGGTCGCGGTATTCGTCACAGAGAGGAATCAGATGGAGCATCTGTTCTCGATGTTCTCGATGCCCGCATTGTAGAAAGTGGAATCGAGGTCTAAGAGCTTGCGAGTGGTCCTGGGGCGGTCAAAGAGGTGAGCGATGCGGAGATACTCTGTGCTGTGCAATCAAGAATTAGCAACCTGCCTCTCAAAAGGTGGGCTCGCAGCAGTAGCAGCAGCAGGCCGGGCGGCAGCAGGACTGTCCACAGTAGGACGGGCGGCAGCAGGAGGCCTGGGCATGGTGCAGCTGGCAGCAGGTTGGGGGCGTGCAGCTCACCACGCAGCACGGGGGCAGGAAGGTGCCCTCCACGCGGCAGTCTGGGCGGCACCACCGGGTGCGGTAGCTCACGGCACCGCTGCCACCCTCCTGGCCAAAACCGACGCCACCTTCAATGCCACAGCCAGTGCCAATGCAGCTTGGCTCCTGGCAGCTGGATCCACAGGTGCCGCTGGTGGAACAGCTGGGAAATCCGCAGAAGCTGGTGGAGCAAGATCCACAGGTGCCGCTGGTGGAACAGCTGGGAAATCCGCAGAAGCTGGTGGAGCAGCAAGCCATGGTGCGGGGATTGGGTTGAGCTGTGTTGCTTGGAGAAGTGGAGAGGTTTCTGAGCTTTGGCGGTGACTTCTGCACGGGGCCCTTTTATATACCTAAGCCAGCCGCTCTTCACAGAATTCTTCACATATTTTTCTTGTTTTTGTTTAAATTTATTCCTCAGTGGTCCTCTGATTGGCTCACTCTCAAATACTTCTGACCATAATGAGCAGCATTTTGAAAATTACTTTATAAGGTCATGGGGCCTCCTCCTATCAGCCCTCAGCTCTTTAGAATGTGCCTGTGGTTTCCAGTGTTCAAAGAGTCCTCCCTGTTACATCAAGTCAACGCCCTCTTTCCAAATAGTAGTCATTCCATATGACAATCTGTCCAGACCTCAAAGCCGAGGCCAGTTTTGGTGCTGCATTTAAGTATTGTTTTTCCCCTCCTAGATAGATAGATGGAATTCCATTGAATTTAGAACACCAGACTCCTCGCTGCATGGACTCAGGATCTCTGGTCGTGTGTAATCAAAACTTGCACCTCACTCACCTCAGCATCATATCAAGTTACTATTATAGTTCCTTTGGTTCCAGCCCATTTGAAATGTGAACGTATCGTTTGTATTCTAGGCCACAAGTCTTTTCTTGTGAACCAAATGGTCTAAGGGATAAGGACGTATCAAGCACGAGGCTTAGCTCCTGGGAGAAGCTTTAAAAATATCTACTGAATCTAATTCAATAAATGTGCATTTCATGGGTGGAGCAAAGGGCATGATTCACAGGTCTCTCTACGACTCATAAAAGATTAAGTAGAACTTCCCAGCTGCAGTCCTCTCATGAGGGAGACTTGTTACGTGCTCTGAAAAGAGACTAGGAAATGCTGGATTGTTTATCTGAATTGGACAGTTGAACCAAGGCAGGAAAACAACATCTGGGAGATATGATGTTTATCATTTTGTGTGTGATCCAGCCAAGGTAAGAGCCGAGAGCTTGTGAAAAGCCTTACAAGGGTCTTCTTAGGTTTTGCTGTATGTATGCCCCATTATTGTATTTTAAAGGTTGCACTCAAAGGTTTAAAGAAGAATTTGGAAATGAATAGTAAAGCCTATTTCTTTCTGTTCTTCTGAAGCAAACATTTTTTTTTTCCAAATGGACTGCAAAGTGTGATGTTTCAGATTTCTAATTTGTCTGTCTGACATGGCCCCTAGGTAAACCGCAGAGCTGTTTGTCCTATTCTCACCCAGACCAGAGTTAACAAAGAGAGCTGAAGCCCAACCAGGTGGGGAAGAGGGGTTAAGACATAGGAATTAAATTTTGGAAAATAAATGGCATGTGGTAGATGTCTTCAGATCTATTTAGCAGGTACTACAATTTCTGAATGGTGGGTGTGAATGAAAGAGAAAATCTAGCATGGTATATGAGAAGAAATTACAGAAGTACGTGTAGGTAGAAACCCACTGCTTTGATCAGCCTGCACATTTTAACTAAAAGTGGCTGTATTGGTCTAGACTAATTATAATAGATCAGAGTATGGAATCATTTGAATAGCTATGAAGATTGTAGATTTTGCCAGTAGATAGACTCAAGCATGATTTAATTTGGATTTAATCTTCCTTGTTTAGATGATGTGTTTATGGCTCAAGATTCGAAATGTAAAATGCTCTTCTTGAGTCCCAGGGGTAAGTGGATGTGCGTACAGGCAGAAGAAAGACATGATCCTGCTTGCTCCATACATCTGAGAGTTTTATTTGACAGTAATAAGGGCTGTTGAAGTAGAAAGCAGATTTGAAGATGCATAGAGATCAAGAGGTAGGAAGGGAGCCCAGATGTCTCCGGAAGGAAGAACCGCCCATTGCGTCCCCTGCTCCAGCCAGGCGGTGTCTGCAGAGCACAGTGCTGGGGCGTGGTCTCAGTGAGCCGGATCGGCACATCTGTGGGGGCCGACTAAGAGCTGTGCTACTTATGAGTGGCTTATCAGCATCGTGACACTTAGCACAGGTCGGTGGAAGGAACACGTCTTAGGAGATCATCAGGTGTGCCTTGCTCCTCTCTCATTCTGGAGTCATCAGCAGCCTGGTCCTTAACAGGTGGGCTGGCAGCAGCTGGGCTCACTGCAGGTGGGCTGGCAGCAGGTGGGCTCACTGCAGGTGGGCTGGCAGGAGGTGGGCTCACTGCAGGTGGGCTGGCAGCTGGTGGGCTCACAGCAGTAGCAGCAGCAGGCCGGGCGGCAGCAGGACTGTCCACAGTAGGACGGGCGGCAGCAGGAGGCCTGGGCATGGTGCAGCTGGCAGCAGGTTGGGGGTGTGCAGCTCACCACACAGCACGGGGGCAGGCAGGTGCCCTCCACGCGGCAGTCTGGGCGGCACCACCTGGTGCGGCAGCTCACGGCACCGCTGCCACCCTCCTGGCCACAGCTGGTTCCACAGCCGCTGGTCTGGCAGCAGCTTGGCTGGCAGCAGCTGGTCTGGCAACAGGTTGGCTGGGAGCAGCTGGTCTGGCAGCAGCTTGGCTGGCAGCAGCTTGGCTGGCAGCAACTTGGTTGGCAGCAAGTTGGTTGGCAGCAGCTGGAGCCACAGTTCCCACTGGAGGAACAGCTGGGGAAGCCACAGAAGCTAGTAGCACAGCAGGCCATGGTGTGAGGAGTTGGGTTGAGAGTTGATTTATTAGGAGAAGTTTTTGTTTTGGCTGCACCCCTGACACCTGGCCTTTATATATTCTTTAGAGCTCTTTGTTTACTTAACATTTAGCACCTTCCCTTGATGTTACCTTGCAAAGTCAGGCTCTGATTGGCCCATGCCTGAGTTGTTTAGACAATTACAATTAGCCTTTCAATTGTTTGCTTTGGTCAATATTCAATTATGGCTCATTATGTTTCTCCTTGGCCCTCTGGACTAAGTGAAGGTGCATCCTGGAAGCCGGCACTTTATGCAAGTTACGTGGCAGGGGGACCTGGGTAAACACTGCCCTGCTGACTTTGTCATAGATGTCCCTTGCTAACCCTCAGGCACGGTTCGTCTAAACTGAGCATTCACTTCCTTCATGGTCACGCAGTCGTGATCGTGATTTCATGAGCAATTTGCTCAGACTTGGAAGCACTAATCCTAGTGTCATCAGAAAATGAGCGACCATTCGATTCATCCACGTGAAAACAAAGCCTGTCTTTCCATGATCGCTTCGGGCGAGTAATTAGCATCTAATTAGCATTCTGGTCTTCTGTTGCCAGTGTACACTTTACCAGCGGAAGTCCTTCACACCTTTGCCTGTAAATTGCTTTCTGACCTTGTTAAATTGAAAACATCTGCTATTAATGGATGCACGTTGTAAGGAGTCAAATAGTACAGCATCATATAAAGAAAAAAATAAGATGCTCCCCCTACCCCCATGTACACCCATCTTTCCAACACTGGTTCTCCAGAAATCATCAATATTAGAAGTTTAGTGCATCGTTCTTTGACTCATGTATATGCCTGTGTCTGATAATATGAGTGTAGATAGATAGATAGATAGATAGATAGATAGATAGATAGATAGATAGATAGATATATGGTCTGCTTCGGTAAAATTTGGATCTCATACATATTTAAATTGTGTTGAGATACTAATAAGATTGGTAGCAATCTTAACTGTTTATATTAACCATTTTAGCCATTTTAAAATAGTCATCACTCTTGCTGGAAATTTTTTGATCATATATTGAAGAGTTTATTTCTGACTCCTCTGTTCCATTGGTCTCTATGTCAGTATGTTAGAATCTGCTTGAATTATGGTTGCTTTGTAACGCATTTTGAAACAGGCAATGTGAGACTAACTTTGGTTTTTTTAAATATTGTTTTTATTATTTAGGACCCATTTATGATTTCCTTTGAATTTTTAGATGGATTTTTCTAATTCTGCAAAAGTACTGCTGAGATTTGGACAGCGAATGATTGCACAAAACCTGTAGGTCCTTTGGGTGATCTTAACAACATAATATTATAAATGGAATTGTCTTCTTGATTTTCTTTTCAGGTTGTTCATTGTTAGTGCATAGAAATTCCAGTGTTCTTTTTGTGTTGGTATGTATTTGTTAACTTTTGCAAAATTCATTCATTAGTTGTAACAGTTTTCATGTGTGTGTGTGTGTGTGTGTGTGTGTGTGTGTGTATGTGTGTGGTATGGGGGATTGAAACAGAGACCTTTTAATTGAGCTATATCTCTATCCCTTTTTAATTTTTTTTATTTTGTGGCAGGGTCTATTTATGTTGTTAAATTGCCCAGGCTGGACTTGAACTTTGAATTTTTCTGCCCCAGCCTCCCCAAAATCCTGGGGTTACAGACATGTACCACCACACCGGTTAGTTGTTAATTCTTTTAATGTGCTGTGGCATTCTCTTTGCTAATATTTGGTTGTTGACTTTTGCATGAATATTTGCTGGGGATATAGTCTTGTAGTCTTAGAGAGTCATCTGATTTTGGTGTCACAGTGTTGCTGGCCTTATAAAATGAATTTGGAAGTGTTCTCTTCTCTTCAGTTTTTTAGAAGAGTTGAGGATTGATGTTGATTTTCTTTATATTTTTGGTACAATTCACCAGCAAATCCTTCTGGGCCTGGCCATGCATTTTCTTTGTTGGGAAAATTTTCGTTACTGATTCAACCCCTTTGTTAATCATGGGTTTGTTCAGATTTTTCTCTTTCTTCATGATTCAGTTTTGGTAGTTTGTGTGTTTCTAGGAATTTATTTATAGATATGTTTCTTTATGGAAAAGACATATCTCTGTTAATTCCTAATACATCCTGCATATAGACTTCATTTTTAATAGCTATATAATGTTATGGAGTCCAATCATCTCAGACTTTATTGAGTCCTTTCCTTGATAATATGTCAATCTTTTTAGGTTGATGTCAAATTTTAAAATAATCATAGAATTTTAGGCTGAAGTGGATTTAAAGGTTTCAGTTTGGTGTTTTGAGACAGGGTCTCACTATGTAGTTGAGACTGCCCTGGAACTCACTACGTAGCCCAGGGTGATCTTGAACTCACAGCAGTATTCCTGCCTCAGCCTCCCAAGTGCTGGGATTATAGGCACGTGCCACCACGCCTGGCTGATTTAAAGCTTTTTGATTTTGAGCTTTAGGTGATTAGATATAGCCACACAATGTACAGCCTGAGCTCTCCACTGAGAAGTACTTTACCTAAAGGGATTTTCAAACTCTTACTGCACCTCAGTGACTGTGGGACCTCAGAAAAGTCACTAATTCCTCTGAACATTGATTTCCTCATCCGTAGAATGGGATCCTCTCGCAGATGCCTTCGTGGGCTGGAAGTGCATAGTTACCACCATGTCATTCACGCCTTATTGGGTGCTACCTGCCCATGTCAGAGTCACACCGCACTCTACACAGTGGCTCTGTACCAGCTCACACGTAGATGTTCTGTAAAGGCTTTTGGAGTCAGAAAGTGAAGAAATGATTAGCAGTGCAGGGTGCTGGTGAAACACTAAATGCCATTTTGTCACAGTCACTTGTAATTTCACTTCATCCTTTTCTCTCAGGAGGGGCTGCTTACATTATGATACCTGAAAGCGATGAGTAGAGTCAAGGGGTCCAGAGGATTCTCCGTTTCCAGTCTGACTTCAGAGTGGTGTCTGGACTAGATCGGTCTCAGGGAGAACTAGCAGGGAAATAGTTTCTTAGTTCACAATTTGTCCTTTATTCATGCTTTCTAATTTTCTGATTTTTTGTTAACCATTGAATGAATAAAATGTTGTAACTTCAACCAAAATATTAGAATTTTAAGCAAAGTAATAGTTTTGTATAGAAACACACTTTTAGTTCCCTCCAATTCTAAGTCCAGAAACCCGTGTATCAGTCCTGGTCTTTGTCTGAAAAACTATCCAAACTAATGAAGGATTTCCTAATACTTATGCATAAATTTATTATCTCTGTGTATTCTCTATAAATGTATTTATATAATAAATATGTATATGTTTCTATTAAGTGAATGTTCTCAACCAAAGAACATGCATTAATTATACATATTGAGAGAAGGCTGGGGGTGTTGCTCAGTGGCTCCACACCTGCTCGGCAAGTTCAAGGTCCTGGGTTTGATCCCTGGTACCCCTCCCAGAAAAAAATTGGGCCGGGGATTTAGCTCAGTGGTTCCGCCACCTGCCTTGCAAGCTCAAGGACCCAAGTTTGATCCCCGGTACAAAAAAACAAACAAACAAACGAAAAAACAAACAAACTTGGAGTAAAACTCCATCTAATTCAGACCATATTTTTTCAGTATTTCCCTCATATTTCTCTTGCTGTATTCTGCAAGACTCTATGTGAATGAAAGAGTGTTACCACCATTTGAAGATAACTGGATATAGCATCCCTCTACCTCAAGGCTAAGTGCAACCGACTTAGGCTCTAAATTCTGAGGTCCTGGCTCCTATCCTCATCTGCCTTTGGGACCACTGTGTGAAGGCTGGTGCAGTAATAGATCCTCTACCATTTCTGATGCCCTTGGTAACTGACTTTACTCTATCTTTTTATGGGACATGCATACACTGGGCCTTTCCGACCAAGGTATGCACGTGTGGTTTGACATAGCAAAAACAGATGGAAATCTTTTACATGATGTTCAGTGAAATGTCTATCATGAACATACCTGTTATGGCTTGTGTCTAGATGTCCCCCAAAGCTGCATGCAGTCATAGGTGGGGATTTTTCAGAGGTGGCTGGATCTAGACTGTGTGATTCATGATGCAATGCTAGGCTCAAAGGCACTAGGATTAAGGGTGTGAGTGCTATCTGGCTACCTGCATGAAGATAGAAGAGACAGAAAGAGCTGTGTCATCCCTTGTTGCTTTGGTACCTTCTGCCCACCCCAACGGTTTCTCTACCATGCTGCCCTGCCTCGCAGCCAGCCAACTATGGACTGAAACCTCTACAAACTGTGAGCTAAATAAACGTTTCCCCTTTAACTTTGGGTGTTTGATAGCTAAGACAGAAATTTGGTATTAGAGAAGTGGAGTCATGGCCGTGACTGTACCGGCCCATGTGGTGTAGGAACCTTTGGAACTGGCATGTGGGAAGATGAAGAGTTAGGAAAGGTTTGGAGATGCCAGCTGAAAAAGTAGAGCTGGAAAGCCTTTGGCTGTACTTGATAAGAGATTCTGGTTAGAGTTAGACTTCATTTTTAATAGCTATATAACGTTATGGAGTCCAATCATCTCAGACTTTATTGAGTCCTTTCCTTGATAATATGTCAATCTTTTTAGGTTGATGTCAAATTTTAAAATAATCATAGAATTTTAGGCTGAAGTGGATTTAAAGGTTTCAGTTTGGTGTTTTGAGACAGGGTCTCACTATGTAGTTGAGACTGCCCTGGAACTCACTACGTAGCCCAGGGTGATCTTGAACTCACAGCAGTATTCCTGCCTCAGCCTCCCAAGTGCTGGGATTATAGGCACGTGCCACCACGCCTGGCTGATTTAAAGCTTTTTGATTTTGAGCTTTAGGTGATTAGATATAGCCACACAATGTACAGCCTGAGCTCTCCACTGAGAAGTACTTTACCTAAAGGGATTTTCAAACTCTTACTGCACCTCAGTGACTGTGGGACCTCAGAAAAGTCACTAATTCCTCTGAACATTGATTTCCTCATCCGTAGAATGGGATCCTCTCGCAGATGCCTTCGTGGGCTGGAAGTGCATAGTTACCACCATGTCATTCACGCCTTATTGGGTGCTACCTGCCCATGTCAGAGTCACACCGCACTCTACACAGTGGCTCTGTACCAGCTCACACGTAGATGTTCTGTAAAGGCTTTTGGAGTCAGAAAGTGAAGAAATGATTAGCAGTGCAGGGTGCTGGTGAAACACTAAATGCCATTTTGTCACAGTCACTTGTAATTTCACTTCATCCTTTTCTCTCAGGAGGGGCTGCTTACATTATGATACCTGAAAGCGATGAGTAGAGTCAAGGGGTCCAGAGGATTCTCCGTTTCCGGTCTGACTTCAGAGTGGTGTCTGGACTAGATCGGTCTCAGGGAGAACTAGCAGGGAAATAGTTTCTTAGTTCACAATTTGTCCTTTATTCATGCTTTCTAATTTTCTGATTTTTTGTTAACCATTGAATGAATAAAATGTTGTAACTTCAACCAAAATATTAGAATTTTAAGCAAAGTAATAGTTTTGTATAGAAACACACTTTTAGTTCCCTCCAATTCTAAGTCCAGAAACCCGTGTATCAGTCCTGGTCTTTGTCTGAAAAACTATCCAAACTAATGAAGGATTTCCTAATACTTATGCATAAATTTATTATCTCTGTGTATTCTCTATAAATGTATTTATATAATAAATATGTATATGTTTCTATTAAGTGAATGTTCTCAACCAAAGAACATGCATTAATTATACATATTGAGAGAAGGCTGGGGGTGTTGCTCAGTGGCTCCACACCTGCTCGGCAAGTTCAAGGTCCTGGGTTTGATCCCTGGTACCCCTCCCAGAAAAAAATTGGGCCGGGGATTTAGCTCAGTGGTTCCGCCACCTGCCTTGCAAGCTCAAGGACCCAAGTTTGATCCCCGGTACAAAAAAACAAACAAACAAACGAAAAAACAAACAAACTTGGAGTAAAACTCCATCTAATTCAGACCATATTTTTTCAGTATTTCCCTCATATTTCTCTTGCTGTATTCTGCAAGACTCTATGTGAATGAAAGAGTGTTACCACCATTTGAAGATAACTGGATATAGCATCCCTCTACCTCAAGGCTAAGTGCAACCGACTTAGGCTCTAAATTCTGAGGTCCTGGCTCCTATCCTCATCTGCCTTTGGGACCACTGTGTGAAGGCTGGTGCAGTAATAGATCCTCTACCATTTCTGATGCCCTTGGTAACTGACTTTACTCTATCTTTTTATGGGACATGCATACACTGGGCCTTTCCGACCAAGGTATGCACGTGTGGTTTGACATAGCAAAAACAGATGGAAATCTTTTACATGATGTTCAGTGAAATGTCTATCATGAACATACCTGTTATGGCTTGTGTCTAGATGTCCCCCAAAGCTGCATGCAGTCATAGGTGGGGATTTTTCAGAGGTGGCTGGATCTAGACTGTGTGATTCATGATGCAATGCTAGGCTCAAAGGCACTAGGATTAAGGGTGTGAGTGCTATCTGGCTACCTGCATGAAGATAGAAGAGACAGAAAGAGCTGTGTCATCCCTTGTTGCTTTGGTACCTTCTGCCCACCCCAACGGTTTCTCTACCATGCTGCCCTGCCTCGCAGCCAGCCAACTATGGACTGAAACCTCTACAAACTGTGAGCTAAATAAACGTTTCCCCTTTAACTTTGGGTGTTTGATAGCTAAGACAGAAATTTGGTATTAGAGAAGTGGAGTCATGGCCGTGACTGTACCGGCCCATGTGGTGTAGGAACCTTTGGAACTGGCATGTGGGAAGATGAAGAGTTAGGAAAGGTTTGGAGATGCCAGCTGAAAAAGTAGAGCTGGAAAGCCTTTGGCTGTACTTGATAAGAGATTCTGGTTAGAGTTCAGAAGTCCAGAATGCTGACAGAAATGCTCCTAGTAAAAACCAGGCTCAGGAAGTTTCTTCTGGGAAGAAGGACTGCATTAGCTATTGGCCTCCAAATGATGTGTGCTATGGCTTGTGTCTAGAGACTCTTGCTTGTGTCTAGAGACTTTTGCTTGTGTCTAGAGATTTTGCCTCAGGCTGAGATTAAGGGTGGCAGACTAATTATTCTGTGAGAAGAAATTTCATGACAGTCTAATGTTGAGGTGGTGGCATGACTACTGTTGGGGGCTTTTCACCAGATCTATGTTGAGAATCAAGAGCAAAGAGCCTAGAAGAATGATTCAAATCTTTATGAGTTTGGTCAGAAAGGAAGCTCCAGTAAGGCTGTAGCCTACAAAGACGGAACAGAGGAGAAATTGGTCACAGAAAAGACAAGCAAGAAAAAGCATTCAGAAGTATCTCAAATATTCAAGCATTCAAACATTGCAAATATTCAAATTTCAAGTATTTCAGAAGAAAGCGACAGGAAAGATGGCCTGGGACATCACAAGAGCCCACAGGACTCCAGCCTTTGTAGCCTCAGGGTTGCAAAGATAAAAGCCTTTGCTTTGAGAAGAGAACCTCACAGCATCATGTTCCAGAATAGCGGCAGCCTAGGAAAGTTGTTCCTCAGGAACATAGACACTTGACCCTTAAAGCAAAGAGAGAAGAAAGCCTGGCTACTGCTCCAGCTGGCGGCAGACCTTGGCATCATCTGTGTGGTGCTCGTTTTAGGTGCATGCAGAATGAAAGAGTTGTGGAGTCAGAAAAGTTTCCACCCACATTTCAGAAGAAGGCTGGGAGCCAGTCAGTGGGCCTCTGAGAGGGCAGTGTGTGAAGCTGTGAGTGTAAAACCAAAGGAGAAGTGGAGCCCCCAGAAGTTTAGAGAAGCCAGGATATGGATTGTCTGAGGCAAACTGCAAGGAGGGAGCAGAGTCAGCCTGAGAGATGCCCCTGGGAGGGTCATGAAGGTGGAGCCATCTGAGCCCTTTGGAGTTCACAACTTGCCACAAATTGACGAGGATGCTGGAAACAGGATGATGGGATTTAATGTTTGTCCTGCTGGATTTTGGACTTGCTTCGTTTCCATTCGTGGCTATCTCCCTGTTTGTAACTTTTAGAATGGAAATGTCTATCTTGTGCCACTGAATGTTGGAAGTGTTTAACTTTCTTTTCATTTGTACAGGGGCTTGCAGCTAAGAGTTTGCCTTAAGTCTCAGAGGAGACTTTGGACTTGGACTTATCCACAATATTGAAGCTGTTAGGACTTTGGCAACTCTTGGAAATGGACTAAATGCCTTTTGCATAAAGTAATGTTCATGAGTCTTTGGGAGGCCAGGGTGGAATGTTATGGTTTGTGCCTAGATGTTCCACAAAGCCTCATGTAGTCATAGGTGGGGCTTTTCAGAGGTGACTGGATCTAGAGTGTGTGATGACTGGTTTGATTCATGGTGCAGTGCAAGGCTCTAGGATTAAGGGCATTAGGATTAAGGGGGTGAGTGATACCCACCCTAAGCAGCTTGGATAAGATATAAGAGATAGAAAGATCTGTGGTCATTCCTTGTTGCTTTGGTACCTTCTTCCTGGCATGAACTGTTTGTCTGTGATGCCAACCTGCCTTGGAGCCAGATAATTATGGACTGAAACCTCTACAGGCTGTAAGCTAAATAACCCCCCTCACACACACCCTTGTAGCAGGCATCCCTGCCCAGTACTCATAGGCTATGAGTGGCACATGCTTCTTGCCTTCCCTAATTTGGCTATATTGTTTTATATCAGGAGTCAGATTGAAGCCCTATGTGCCTCACTCCAATGGGCATGTCAGATAGCAGAGTGGGCTAGTACTGCTCCTTTGCTAATGGCTGTCACTGCCTGTGAAGTGGCAGGGCTCTTCCAATTTACATCTAGCTGAGGTCAGTGTGACCCTAGTTAAAGCTCTTTCTCCTGAATCATGGCTCCTCACTGGGTTGCTTGCTGATTACACCTGGTCCCAGTATCTGTTGGTTTTATACAAGCAAGATACATCACGCTTATTCTGACAGCCCTTCCTGGCACCATCATGTTAGGTGTTCAGCAGTATTTCACTGGATGCCTTCAAAGCATACCCTGCTCCCTATTCCTTCCCAAGATTATACTCAATAAATACTGGATGCCTTTGTGGATCTTTATCTTTGTTGCCTAGAGAAGCTCTGATCAGGTCCCAAGACCCAGCTTCTCTCTAAGTCTATTTTCCTGTCTTTATTGTTTTACCTTTTTTTGTAGTGGCTCACAAGAGACCAGGACCCACTGCAGGGGTTCTAGCAACATCCCTTTATAGCAACATTTCCTATGCCCCCTTTAACTTTGAGTGTTGGGTATTTTGTCTCAGCAACAAGAGAAAAGCGACTAAGACAACATTCCTAAAAAAAACAAGAGATTTTTGTTATGCCAATAGATATAGTTTATTAGAACTTGGTGTATTATTTCTCTTTCATAAGAAGTGCAACCTACAGGATGGAGGAGTAGAGGAGAGGAAACTAACTGAGAGGAGCTGACAGTTCTTCCAAGGCCCTGTAAAGCAATGAGTCTTGCAAGGTGGGGTCACGCTTTTCTGACAACCACTCCCAAGGCAAACTGAATTTCCCATTTCTTGAATCAGATTTATATTTTGGCTTCCACAGAGGAGAGATCTGAGTCTTTCCATTGCTGCATGGAAACAGTTCTTGAGGCTCAAATATTTGGTAACTCCCATTAACAAAAGCGACATTAACTTCCAGAACTCGTTTAAAGTCCAGGAGTGACTGAAGAGCTATTTAGTTCATGAGCTGAGTTGGAACTTGAAACTACAAATTGAGAATCAGCAGACTGGTCCTTAACAGGTGGGCTGGCAGCAGGTGGGCTGGCAGCAGCTGGGCTCACTGCAGGTGGGCTGGCAGCAGGTGGGCTCACTGCAGGTGGGTTGGCAGCAGGTGGGCTCACTGCAGGTGGGCTGGCAGCAGGTGGGCTCACAGCAGTAGCAGCAGCAGGCCGGGCGGCAGCAGGACTGTCCACAGTAGGACGGGCGGCAGCAGGAGGCCTGGGCATGGTGCAGCTGGCAGCAGGTTGGGGGTGTGCAGCTCACCACACAGCACGGGGGCAGGCAGGTGCCCTCCACGCGGCAGTCTGGGCGGCACCACCTGGTGCGGCAGCTCATGGCACCGCTGCCACACTCCTGGCCAGAGCCAATGCCACCTTCAATGCCACAGCCACTGTGGCAGCAGCTGGTTTCACAGCAGCTGGAGCCACAGTTCCCAGCGGTGGAGCAGCTGGGAAACCCAAAGAAGCTGGTGGCACAGCAGGCCATGGTGTGAGGAGCTGGGCTGAGAGTGTGTTGTGCAAAGAAGTCTGAGTGATGGTCACTCACTTTGACTCCAGCCCTTTATAAGCTGTGGCCAGTTGATTAGTCTGTGTTTCTAGCATTTTTATCCTATTACTCCTTCAAGCAGCTCCTTTAGGGCCCTCTGTTCAAATTCTGAGTTACTTCAAATAAATCTCCAAATTTTCTTGCCCTTATGACTCAGCTAATCATTGCCAAATGTGTTCAACATTGGTAGAAATGTTAATGTTTCACTTCCAAACTGTGCTGTATTTTCTACCTGAGTCTCAGCTTGAGTCTTATGCTCGTGGTTGTAGCATCTCACAAGTGACTCTGCCCCTTAGATTGGTGGGATGTGGGGGGTCACACTGTCAAATCTCAACTCTGTGGAGAAGAATTATTATTTTCAGATTGGTAAGTGATAGTCTCTATGCCAAGACAAGTAGAAACTCTGATAAACCCCATATTCATAGAAATTCATAGGTCTCTCCAGATATTGGATCTTCCCCAATTTCTGTGATCTCTCCTGAACTTCAGATCTTCACATTTCAGGAATTACTTATCACTCAGTGCATAAATGGAACAAACTTTGTTTCATTCCAATTTGATTTTTGAAAGGAGCTAAAATTTATATGCAGTCTCTGGGGAGGAAAATTACAAAATATTGTAAGTGAAATTTACACCTCTCTGCTAGATGGATTATTTGGACAGCATTTCTCAAAGGTGGGATTTACTTTCATCTTACATCACATGTTACTACACCATGTGTTCAGCTAAAGGATATCAGATAACTGCTTAACTTGCAAAAGACCAAAAATGAAGGAATTAGGAAAGATTTTTTTTCTCAAAGTGTTTGCAAGTCAGGTTAAGAGATGGGTGATCAAATATGGTTCAGTGGGTGTAAAGACCAAGGTAAATTCCATCCAAAGAAAAGTTGAAACAATTCCTGGTAGGTGCCAAATGAAAAGATGTGATTTTTTTTCAATGAATATTTAGGGTTACTTGAGGGGAAATGGAAAAAAGTGGTGTCCAAAAAACAAAATATTTATTTCCTATCAAATTGAATCATAGAATCATCTTTTTATGAGGTGGAGGCAATGATTTATATAGCACTAGGATACACCAGACTATGACTCAGGCAGTTTCAATAAAATTCATGTCATATGGTAACTATGACTATAGTCACGAAGTTGAAAATGGTTATATTTGATCACTGAATAATTATTCATATTGGAGGTGTAGAAACTGCCACGAATCCTAGAGCACAAGGTACATTAAATTCCACTGTGCACAGAGCACTAAAGGGTTACATAGAAAGCAAGATGCTATTTTCTGATTTACATCTTTCTCCAGTGTGATACCAATAGGAAGGGCTAATCAAGGATATTAATCAAGGATATGATTATAACCTAAAAGCTATACATTGCAACACTGGTGTTATCATACGACTACTTTAAATTTTCTCTCAGCATCAGTGGTGTTAGAAGACTATTGAGTCCGAAAGGGATACATTTTGGAGAAATTAAGAGCCTTTCTGCATTCACACAATAAATAGCCAGAATAGCTGGGTATAAAATTCCTTTCTAGACTCGTTCTTCTCATTCTATACCATGCTGCTTTCCAGAATCAATTATTATTATTATTAAATCTCTTTGTCTCCTGCTTTTATTTTGAATATATTATAATGGTTTAAAAATAGAAAGTGAAATAGTGGGCAAGGAACATGATGGAATAATGATTTTAAAGGCAATAGATAAGTTAACGTTCTTTTGCTCTCAAACTTGAAGAATTTTCCCAAGAAGTGCAATAAGTAATATTTACTTCCTGCTTCTCATGTCTCACATTCAACTTAGTTAAATACCTTCTGGATTTCAGTATCTGCCATAATCATCCTGTGTTCTTTGTTCCCTGGATGTATTCAAGAGTTCCCAGGCAGAGTCCCCCAGAGAGCCGTGGCGGAGTCTCCTCGAAACTTTGTACAGTTTCCATAGCTGAGAATGCCAGCCTTTTTCTGGTCGGCACTCCAAAACCCTAGCTCACATACACTGACAGCTCTTCTTCATCTTTTTCATTTTTCCAGATCAATAGTGACCTCCCTCTGGGCATGTTGCAGTTTTGTATTTATACCCGTTTTATTTTTAAACTTTTAGTGTATTTTAGTACACGCTTACAGTACATAATGCTTACAATTATTGTGAGGAGTTTGTATGTGTACCGGACGGAGTAAATGATTTTAGCCCTTCCCCTCCCATCCCTCTGCTCTCTTCAACACGATCCCTTTCCCATTTGACAAATTTCTATTTCCATCTTCTTCCTTGATTTCCCCCTTTCTTTCCCTGCTGTATGTTCTCCTGCACGTTGCACCTTTATTCCTCACATTCCAACTTTTTAGTTGCGTTTCAGTGGATTTGACTCAACCCCTAGGAGTTCGGGGTTTGTTCTTGTTGCGGTTTGTTCATTTGTGTTTTAGGAGGAGGGTGTTTTCAACTCTACTCGAGTGTCTCTGGTACACCAGGCAGGCTGTGACTGGCAGATGGTAGGCCGTCAGCCCAGTTTTCGTGGTATTGAAATTTAACGGAAACAAAATTAGTATGAGTAAATAAAACCAAAACAATGCTTGGGAGAGCAAAGAAGAGAAGTTTATTTAAAAAATAGACACACCATCAGATTTTAGATCTAAGTTGGGAAGAAGGCCGTTGCTTCAGTACCAAGACTCAGGGCAGCCCAGGTCTTCGTAGATGAGGCAGGGTTGGGGTGGGGACTCGGTGACTCAGGGCGGGAGCCTTCTTGGGTGAAGAAGCGGACTCAGGCCTTCCCAGGAAGGCTGCGCTTGCTTGATCCTCGGCTCAGCAGCGGCAGGGGTCGGGGCTGGAGCCCCTGCAGGTCACCCGGCAGGGCGCCGGCTGGC